GATTAAACTATGTTTTAAAAGCATAGTTTTCAATGAGAAAGTATTTTTATTAAATTACACACTTATACTAATTTGCTATAAATATTATATTTACACTAATAAACTCACAGAAAAGGAGATTTTTAAAACCAAATATTTATTCACAGTGTGAATTTCACACTTAAATCTAACTATAAGCACTAGATAAATAATTTAGAATTTAGATACGATAAAATTATGAAGTACAGTATAAATACTTTATCAGTAACTTACATATTTAATAATCACGGTACCTGTCTCAACAAATGCAAAGTCCAATAAATTGGATTATTTGACAATAATACGAGATAAATGTAAAAGTGATTTTTTAAAACTAAATCACATTTTGCAATAACATTGATTAGATTCACAATTTAATCCAGGCACAGTACTTCTATCAAACCAGGAATTAGCACTTTATGAAAAAAATCGTTTTAAACTAAAGACATTTTGCTACTTTAGAAAAGGAAATAAAATATTATACTAGTAAAGTTTTCCAAAAAATACAAACAAATATAATACTTTGAAATTAATTTTTTGTTATAATAATCCTATTTCTATTTATGAAACTATATTTGAATCAATATATTATTAAAATAAAGTATGTAAACTTGTTGAATAAGTATATGAATGATGTTGCCTTTCTACTAAATCGCCTCAACAAATGTATAATCAGTTTCAATACATCGTATCTCAATTAATAATTTATAATTACAAACACGGAAATAATTTGAAAATAGACTTGTTTTGCGTAAATATTCTAAAGAAATGATCATGATCATTTCAAAACTAATTCAACATAAATATAGAATATTTTTTGTTAAAAAGATCAGTATATTAAAAAACAAACTAAATTTGGTTATAGTACTAAATGTTTTCAGTATTTGTTTAAATATTGTACCTATAATAATATTTATAATTGTATAATGTATGTATTTTAATTAAAATTTATAATTTAATGAAATTACTTTTTTAATTATGAACTTGTGAGTTTATTAGTGTAAATATAATATTTATAGCAAATTAGTATAAGTGTGTAATTTAATAAAAATACTTTCTCATTGAAAACTATGCTTTTAAAACATAGTTTAATCATTAAAAAATCAAAAAGATTTCCTTTTTATAAAAAAACATATACATATTTTAAATTACTAGCCTTTTTATTGACTATATTATATAAATTTAATTTAAATGTTCTGAAAATGAAACCAATATTTATTATTAAATTATTTAATTGAAAATTTAATTCTTTGCATAAAACACGCTAGTATATAAAAATATAATTTAAAAACACTATTTTGAGATTATTGATTTGAGAACATTATCCTATAGATAGTAGCTTTCACAGTAGGTGGTCAATATTTTATGATTGTGAATATAAATTTTATAAATTTATGACTTAAAAAGGATCTCATTCAGGATTAGATAATATTCAACAATCATACTGTAATAATACTTTAATTTATATCATATCTGACAGAAGCACTTATTATATGTTTAAGTAAAATATATTTTATAATGCAATCTATAGAAAAATATAGGTTCATAATTAATTGTAAGTTAATTATAAAATAAATCAATATTTAAAACCTCTGAAATAAATAAAAATATAAAACTTAAAATATCGAGTATATTAATGTGATCGCAAGTTTATTTATAATTTTGTAGAATAATTATAATATTTATCATTAATATTTAAAGTATGTGTAAGCAAAGTCCTAACAAGTACAATTTAAGAGTTTGAATTTTATTGATGCTAATCACATTCAGATGTGAAGTCAGATATAAATTTACAATACATTGCATTTGTATTGAAATACATTGTAATACATATAATATTGTACTAAGCATCCTGTTCACATGATCTAAGGGTTACTAAAAATTTTAATTGTATTAAAGGGGCACTTTATAAAAGTATATAAATGCCGGAGAATTCACTTACAAACTCATATAACAAATTGAAAAAAGTTATCATTTATTAAAACACTATTTATTCACAAATCATGAAATATTTAGCACTCATATTAGTGTTGACCCTATGGTTAGCCGAAGCAAATGTTGAGAAACTAAACGTTTCAGTGCACCGACATTCTGGAGGTCGTATCGTTGGTGGTGTGGATGCCACGGCTGACCAAGCACCATTTCAAGTTGCACTGCAATACCTGGGTTTTTTGGTTGGTCTCACCTATGCGGTGGTTCACTGGTTGGCACCCAATCCGTAGTAACTGCCGCCCATTGCACTGAAGGGTATGTCATTTGTGATTAAATTTTATGAAAATATTTCTAATTATAAATTCACTTAAAGCTTGACAGCGAGTCAACTGCGAGTACAGTACGGGGGTCTGGACCGGACTAACCTGGCTTATACCAATCTAGTACAACAAATATACCAACACTCCCAGTACAACATACCCGCCAAATACGACTACGACTACACTGTACTCCGACTCCAGGATAAAATCCAGACGTCGGCCACCATTAAGACCATTGAGTTGGTCGACGCGACTCCGGCCGCCGGATCTAAGGCCCAACTGACCGGTTGGGGGCGGACTGTGGGCAGCGATCCCAACTCATCCCCGGCTAAGTTACAGTACGCGGAGTTCACACTAATTACTCGCGAGGAATGCCAACGAAGAAGTAATAATGTCTTCACAGACCCGCCGACAGTCACCACACAAATGATTTGCGCCGAGAATAAGGCCGCCTCCGGGTGTAAGGTATGTCCCACTCGTGCCTAATATTCATTGAATGTATTGATTAATAAATATATTCTCCAATCTATCCAAAGGGTGATTCCGGTGGACCCCTAGTAGTCGGTGGCAAACTGGCGGGCATTGTCTCGTGGGGCGCCGGCACTTGTCCCCCAGACACTACTGTTTACCCCACAGCCTATGCAGATGTTGGCGCTCAGAGGGCATGGCTGCAGTCAAATATAGTCTAAATCGGATTCAAAGGATCGCTTGTTAACGGACCACTCAATTGAAACCATCGATTATTAAATGATAACTATTTATGAAACCAAACATACATTATATTTATAATCTTATTTTGTCTTTCAATAAATTGCATAACAATTCATAAAATTAAAACCGATGTTAACTTATTTTAACCAAATACAATGTTTTTAATTAAGTTTCGATTGATATAAATGTATTTAAACAAATTTTATTTTCTTACAAATATTTCATATGAAAAGTTATATAATGTAACAAAACTTTAATAATTATTTTGTACGATTTTGTCTAAAACAATTTCTTGCAGTTTGAATCCTTTTGAACATCTGTTTGCTCACTGATTGTCCCAAATCCATGCTCTGAAGGGTTGGAAAAAACGGTAATATTTGGACGGCTTCGTCATAATTGGATACACGTCTTAAGACCTAATAGATATTTTATATGAAAAGTTAGATAGGATCATTTTTAAATATTCATTAACAAGTTAAGTATGTTTAAACCTTTAGGTATTTGCCGTTAATATAGTCACTAAAAATTTGCCGGAATGAGTTGTTAATTGTTTGGTAACCCTTTTCATTCATCTTATTTTCGACAAAATCCCAAAAATATTTGCGATTCTCTATGAAAGGACCCAATTCTCGGACAGTTATGTCCACACAATAGCATAAAGTGTTAAATCTTTGAATATCTTCTTTAGTTAATTGTGACCCAAATTTACGTAATCTTTTCATTCCCTTTGTTTCCCTTTCTTTAGACATTATCCCTCTAATAGTGCGGTGATGAGAGCCCTCCCATACATTTGTCTTCTTTATTACTGTATTTAGCGGCGATTCTTGTGTTTCCGGAATTCTTTCACTACTTTTGGTGTTTGTGTTTGAATTGCATTCAACTTCTGGTTTTATATTCAAAACAGAATTGCTATTAATATTGGCATTACTTCTCAATTTCTTGGACACAAATTCTGTGCTATCATTCGGGCGCTTATTATTTAAATGATAAGTATCGGTGCTCTTAGTATTACCGCTATTTAACTGGTTTTCGGTTGAATTCCGTTTCGCTGACACTTTCATCCTCTCATCTATTGTGTTGATTGAAGTATTTGATTGAATGCTGAATCTTATTAAACATCCTTATGCTCAGCGATTCACTCAAATCCATGCCATGAAGTAATGCAAAGAACGGCAACACTTGCACTGCTCTCTCATAACTTAATACATATTTTAAGAGCTGATCAACGAATATAATAACAATTAAAATAAGATTATTGTATTTTATATCCTATTAAATATTCCAGAAATAAAATATCGGTACCTTATTATAAACCTTAATATATTGGCAAAATAAGGACTGAAAAGTTTTGTTAGCAATCGCTTTGTAACCATTTTTGTTGATTTTATTTGTGATAAAATTCCAGAATCTTTTGCGAAATTGTTTAAAAGGTCCCAATTCTCGGACAGTTGTGTCCACACAATCGCATAAAGCGTTGAAGCTTTCAATATCTTCTTCGGATAGTTTGGACACAAATTCATAGACTTTTTCCATAGGCTTTGGTTCGCTTCCGTCCTTAGGTCTAAGAAATATGTGCTCAGACTTTGATGACTTTTGTTTACTATAAGTCTCGACCAAACTTCTAACATTTGATGGCTGACTGTCCGGTACTAATGTGGATGAGAGTTGACTGATGTTACCACTGATGGGCTTTATTTCTTGATTTGCAATGATTTGGCCAACAGTTCCCTTATTTATGGCTATTTTTAGCGGCAATTCTTGTGATTCCGGAATATTGTCACTACTTTTGGCCCCACTTTTGGTGTTTGTGTTTGAATTGCATTCAAATTCTGGTTTTATATTCACAACACAATCGTTATTAATATTGGCATTACTTTTCAATCTCTTGGGTACAGTTCCTGTGCTATCAATCAGTCGCTTATTATTTGAATCAATTTCTTGTTTAATATTTCTCTTCAAACCAATGCCTGTCTCTCTAGTGAGTGGACTACCGGTGCTCTCATTCTTAACATTATTTAATTGACTGTTTGAATGCATTTTCACAAACACTTCATTCCTCTCATGTTTATTATGACTGCTTTTAATAACCGATTCTTCGATGGTTTGTCTGTTTGTATGACCACTTGAATGACTTATTGATTGATGTCTTGTCTTAACTTCTTTGACTCTAATCCGGGATAAGTTCTCGATATTGTGTTCACCACTCGTTATAATATAATAATCATTGAAATCGGGATCAAAAACCTGTATAATCATTGAAATGAACAATAAATGAACAAGTACAATGTATATTTCAGTTATACAGTAACAATAATCTAGATTACTGTTATTCAAGAATATTCTGTTTAAAAGAATATTTATCAAAATGTACTAGATATATTGTATCCAGATTACTATAATGACATACAATAGTCTATATTAAGTATAAAATGACAGAAATAGTGCTAATCTATAAACTATGGCACAAATCAAAGACAATACAAATGGATACAAACCTCGAAGACATGGGTCTCACTTGAGATGTTGTGTTTGGTTTGGTTTATGATCTCATTGTAGACCACATTAAATGGTAATACTTTATGTCTGTCATCGAAATCAAATGAGACACAAATGTTTTCATTTGCATTCAATTGGACTAAAACTTTGAATTTCTTAACCATTTTAGTGATAATGAGTTAAATTGATGATTAAATACCACACAAAACATTACCAGTGATTGACACGAAAGCACGTGTTTTGCATTAATGACTCAATTCATGTACAGTACAGTACATTAAAACCTGTATTTCATGCACTCTATTGACTTGTATTAAAATTGAACATTGCACCATAGTAAATAAACTTTAAACTATTAAAAAGTTTTATGGGATCAATATCGTATTAAGTAGCTAATTAAAAATTTTATTGCCTCAATTAGTTTGTATTGAAAACGTTTATATTTATATGTTGTACCTTTCACAACATACAGGAGGTTAATATAACATGTACAAATACACTTATAAGTCAGAAAGTTTATGTAAGAATTTTTAATTGATTCAAAATTACAAGATTTGAAGGTCATAATATTGCCTGGGATATATTAAACTAACATAACCTAACCTAACATAAGCTACCCTATCAATAATTATCTCGACTCTAGATTTTATGTCTGATATGTGTTTAAAGTTATTTTAAGTTCAGTATTGAATTCATTCAACTCCTACTGCATAGACTTTGCCATTGCCCTTGCTGACAAGTATCATAAATTGAATGTCATTTATTGTATTTAAATTTCCACATATTCATTGAATTATTAATTTTTTTGACGTTACTTAACATTTTCTACAGTATTAAAATGTGTTGTCATTATTCTTACCTGTATGAATAACTATATAATATATACTATTCGTGGAATATAATTTATTTTTAACCTTTTACTTAATTATTGTTTAATAACTAAATAAAAACTAATTGAATATACAAAGTAGTTTAGTAAGTGATACATTCTTAATAAAACTTGTCAACTGAAACATCAATTATAATATTATCTTGCTTTGATTAAGTTTTTTGCTGATACTGTATAAATATTAAGGTTATAATAACTCTGTGTGAAATTATTTGATAGAAAAAATTATGATTACATAGACAACCTTATACTGTACAGTAGTTCACTAAAAAATTTCAAACTAAATGAAATAAGTTTTCATTACTTAATAATAATTATTAGTGTAATAAGTTATTACTAATAACCTTAAATAATACTAAAACATCAAGTAACATTTTTAAAGAATCCTACAGAATGTCGCAAACAGTGATCACTTGGATTAACATTGGATTTGTTGTGAAGAATATTTTGTCACAAAAGACTCAATCAATTCTCAATGACATCAGCGGTTGTGTGGAAAGCAATACATTGAACGCATTGATCGGTTCCAGTGGTTCCGGCAAAACAACTTTATTACAGACTTTGAGTGGCATTCAGAGTAAGGGTTTGACACAAAACTCGCAAATTTGTATCAATCCGTTGATACGAGAGTTTAGTTCGTGTTTTATATCTCAATATCAAAGCGAATGTTTGCATAAATTATTAACTGTTAGACAATCGTTGATATATTCATCGAAATTGAAGAATAGTCACCAAAAAGGGACGTTTGATCACAAATATAATGTCGACCATTTGTTGGACGAGTTTCTGTTGACTGATATCCAGAATAATAAAGTGTCCGATTGTAGTGGTGGTGAACTGAAACGCCTGTCCATCGCCAATGAATTGACTTCATATAAAAAACCGGACATTTTATACATGGATGAGCCCACCACTGGTCTCGATAGTAATGCCGCAGAAATTGTATGTTATTTTTAATTATATTTTAAATTATAATTTTGTATATTTATTATTATTTTGTAAATTTACATTACTGTCTAGTTTTCTAATGTTTTAAATAATATAATTATATCCTTTTAATTCCAGTTATTAAATGTTGAAATATTCTGTACTAAATAGGAAATGAGTTTTATTTGTATCATTAATGTATAGGTAATGAAATGTCTGCACTCATTGACCCGACATAACCCCACGTCTATCCTCCTGTCCATCCATCAGCCAAATAATGATCTATTCTTANCCGACATAACCCCACGTCTATCCTCCTGTCCATCCATCAGCCAAATAATGATCTATTCTTAATGTTTGACACAATCCATGTCCTATCAAAAGGATTTTGTTTATTCAGTGGTAGACCACATGAACTCAAACACTATTTATCAGAATATGATATAAATTGCAAAGAAAATGAGATTCCGATTGAAGTGTTGCTTAAAATCTCGTCAAATGATTGCACAGACAATAGAATACAACAAATGATTGACAATACATTAGAAATAAATAAATCTACAAATTCTTGCATCGATACTAAGACCAAGAATTATAATTTCAAAACAAATTCAAAGCATTTATGCGCTAAAGATATCTACTACTTATCAATGAGAAGAATTTGCACTCATTTTACATGTCAATGGAAAACATTATTCATTGAATCAGTATTTCATGTTATTTTTACACTAATACTGACAA